TTGCTAGGTGGATTCAATCAAATTGCTAGTCAAATTACGCCAGCAAACAACAAATGGCGAATTTAATTGAAAATAAGAAAATCAGAGATACGAAACAGTGAAATTTCCATATAGCAATTTTTACAAGAAAAAAAATTAGTGAGAAATGGCAGAAAACATTAGACCAAAGCGGATAGAAAAGAATTCATTTTGGCTATAAAATATAGTCGAAAAAGAGATAAAAGACAAATTGATGAAATATAGAGAATGAGTGGTACTTGAAATACGAGAGAACTTATACACTGTAATCAGTGCTGGTTGTTATTACATAGCCATGATGTAGAGCGCACGCACGACTTTTCAAGCTGGAAAATATTGTCAGAATTCAGCGTTTTTGCATTTTTGTTGGAACGCGAGACTTAAATCTAATAGAAATTATCCAAGTTCACTGATTTTTATTGGAACGTGTCCTTATGATGCTCTTCTATTTATAGCAACGATAAGGATTATATTCTCTTAAATATCGATATAAAGTGTTAAACTCGTTTATTACAAATAAGTACTTGTGAATCCATGACTATAGAGTTTTGTGCATGGCAAATTTGTAAAAATCCAATTTAATGGAAGCAAATTATTTTATCGTTGTCACCAGACCAAATTACTTCACATCGTTGTGAGAAAGAAATGAAGCACTTCAACATTTCACATCATGACAGACATAATTTATTTCAACTCGTCACATCCTGATTTGACGCCAATATCTCAAATTAAAAAAAATGGGGGTGCGGGCATGTAATAAATTAAATATATAAAGCTTCGAGATGGTTTAATTTGCTTGGTGATGTGAAATAGATATATGGAAGCTTTGAAACAACAATGCCTCTTTGAAGCAAAAAATCGAAACGTTAAACACTAAAATGTAACAAACAATATCAAGAAAATACACCCCAAGGTAAAATGAATAAAAATTCGCTAATAAACAAAGTTAAATGACATAGTGATAATATACAATTAAATATCACCAGCTAACAGGCCCCAAGCTATATTATAACATCACATTAATGTTGATTGAGTACAGCCGTGCAATAGGTTTTCGTGTTATCTGTTAATTGAGCTCAACTTCATTCACTGAATGAAATTTCTAGATTTTTTGTTATAGTAGAGTAAAAAAAGAAGAAAATTTCCTAAAACGCTTGATATTAAAATGCTCTGGTTGAGGATAATATTTCTAATTTTTAATATCTAGTTAGAGAATATTTTATCTTTTAAAAACGCTGGAAACCTGATGGAGCGGAAGGCTTTACTCTCTATAGAAGCTCCCGATCTTCATATGAAATTATTTGTTAACAAGAGACGTCTTTCTTCATAAAAAATTAAATTCTATTGATTTAGCGTTTCATAACTTCGAAATATAAATTCAGGAGCAAATTCAATAATTCAGTTTTTTTGCTGGTAAATCTAAAGCTGATTTTGTAACATGTAAAAATGTAATGTATGGTTTATTGTTTTCTATAACGATAGACAGAATTATATTTCCATAATTTGTTCAGTTTTTTTTTTCATTTCTAGATATTAATTGTTTCACATACAGTTAAGAGGATGACTATGAGCCATACTTCGCAGTTGCTCATAAATATGTGCTGTAAAAAACTAAATGCCGAGCAGATTAATAAAAAAAAAAGTAAAATACAAATAGAGTGGTTTTGTGCATGAAAGTGAACTGTCATTTATGTGCACAACAAAATATACAGAGCACGCACAGTCTTCCTAGAGCAGACAGACAACATTTCGTGACAGGAAGTTATGTCTGAAACTCCCAAAAGAAGAATTTATTCTGCATTCTATTGTTTTAGATTGAGTTGAGCGCAGTGAATATTCGATGAGATTATGCATTGTATAATATTTAATATTTCCATAACATGTGTTGGTGTACGTACTGCCTTATTTGATAAAACTTTACATTATCATTATTATGGAGGCTCTGTGCTGTTGGAACTTTTTGAAATTTAAAAAGCTTTTAAAACTTTTTTTTTTTGAACGGGTTCAGAAATTTTTTTGTTTTGAGATGTGAGAAGTGAAAATTATATGAACGAACATAGTATAAATTTTTCGTGTCATTTCAATTCATCAGGTACATTTTATTATTTAAAAATATCATTTTACTCCAAGTGTCTAAAATTTTATCGGCTGGCTAATAAAAATAGGCTGATGATATTGTGCAAGACTATGAACTTTTATTATGCTTGGCACAAAGATAAATGAGAAGGTTCAGAAACAGATATACATCATTTCGTCACAGGAAGCTGAGGAATTTAATCTCAAACTCAGTATCTTAATTTCTATTATGCAATTACATAAATTTTAGATAAAATATAAATCAATTGAATGTTTTTGAAAAATAGCATTTTGAATGAATGAAACATTCCATAGTGATTAAACGGAAAAAATATTTCTATCTTCGGCATTCTAAAACATATGAAGCTAACGCACGTCTATCATAAACATCACTATGCTCATTCTTGGGCTCATCCTTAAAAACTAATTAATCTTGTGAGGCCTCTCTTTACAATTTTTGCTCAACGATAAGAAAGATGTAGGATATGATGTTTTATGTTTATATAATTTATGTTTCTTATCATAATTATAAATAGACTTTTATCCACATGCATGTAATCTTAACTGCGAAATAGTTGCAGTTTATCAAAAATATGCAGTTCTACAAATTACAAAGCAAGAAGATTAATCAGAAAAAATTATCAACGGACTGGGCTTGTAATAACCATGTTTTGTAAAACCAATTGTTAGCTGGTTCTCTCTGAGATGATTTGAAAGAGATCATAATAGTATTTCGTTGATATCGAAATTATTTGAAATTACCAAGCATTAGAATTTGTATTAGAAAATAAATGGCAGTGAAGCCTGATATTTATATTGAACTATAATAGGCAAGCATGCCTCACTGAAAATAATTTTAAAACAAAAATAAAGTTGAAAACGTCACAAGCTATGAAATATGAGCTGAGTGTATTGATTGCAATAATTGTGCATTAATAAATCCTGTTTTAGACTCCCAATCGAGCCCAATTTTGTATACCCATTTTTATTCATGTCATACGACCCTCAAAATTTACCCAATATACAATTATTATATATCATTGGAAAGCTCTTTTAGAGTACTATACGCTAGATGTCACTGGAGGACCGTAAACTAAAACACCTGTTTCAAGAGGTCTCTCGTAACGTCAAAAAATACCAAAAATATTTACACTCTCTCATTCTATCAGCTGTTGGACGTGTATAGCTATTGTAAAGCTCAAATGTGACTATACAGTTGACTGCACATTTTCACTTTGATATGATACTAAACGCTTTTCGATAGCGCGCGTCGTTCAAGCGTTTTGGAAATTTTCCGTTTGAGAAGTCACCACATCAAATCAGGCCAGGCTAAGCTTGATAGATCGATCGGTTGTTTGTTTGTGCTTTATCGCGTTGAAAGCTTTTGTGAGTCATAATACAACATTTATTATGAATCGTAAAAGCTTATAATCGTGATACAAGGAGAACTTGCGAGATAAAACGCTTATGTGAACTAACTTTTTTTCGGTGAGGCAGCTGCGATCAAACGACTCGATTTTTTATCACTTCCAAATGTCATATAACGTTCATTACTTATCGATTTTAATCGGTAAGTATGTTGATAGGTATTTGTCTGTCTGTATGTATGTCTGTCTGTATGTCTGTTAGATGCACGCGATATCTCACGAAGGCGTGGTTGAATCTGCTCCAAATTTTGCATGTGCATTCATCATATCTCGGACCAGAAGCCTATTGATTTTGGATGATATGTCGTATAATTAGCGAGGTAATAATTAATTAGTGATGAAGAGATCTGGATTTTTACAAAGCGAGAGATTTTAGAGACGCGCTGAATGTGTGTGTGCGTGTCCGATGCGCAAGTTTTCACGCTAGTGAGTCAGAGCGAAGGTAACTTTGACGTCGTCGCGATGCGCAAGTTTCCTTCGAGAAATTTTCCACGCTATTGAGTTAGAGCGAAGGATACACGCCGCGAGATCGTATCTCGTTACTTATAATTACTCTTTTAAGTTCAAACAATGTCCATATCCCTCTATCAGGTTCGGGGTTGCAGAATTCCTTACCAAAATATCGCTAGGCTGTGTTTGAATAGCCGTCGCAACCCAGGTTAGCGCCGTTGTATTTGATTCAAAATATAGCATTGGTAAATAGGCTATTGGCTGGAAACTAATCGAAACAATCCAGTTCGGGTTTGCAGAATTCTTCATAAAAGTATTTCCTCGATTAGTATTTCGACGACGACATGGGTAGTTGGCTATTGTTTCCTACATTTTTGATATTGGCTGAAAACTAATCAAAACAATCCAGTTCGGGTTTGCACAATTTTTCGAATCGAAACCGCAGTTTCTGTTTTGGGGGATCCCCTAACTTTCGATCGATAAGTCTTCGGTCTCTGACCGATATTCTCGTTCTTATATTGCTGGGTAGGAAATGAGTTAATCTTCCAAACAAGACCATAACAAACATTCTAAACCTCATGGTTTACACATTTATCCTTCGCCTCTCATACAACCTGTCAGGTTGTGCGTCATCTTGATGCACATATAAACGTTATTTTTTGACTTTCAATCGCCGTAACGAGCTTGTTCTGGTATTGTCAAGTAGGTAATGGAGAAATCTTCAAAAAAAAACCTAACCGACATTCTAAACCTAGGTCACGTGATTTTATATTCAAAAGGGGCACAAATGTTTCATTCAACTTAGATCAGGTTCTTTCTGACACTCAGAAAAAGGAAAAGACAACTAGTTTAGAATTGTAATATATATTATATCTATTGGTAAAGCAGAAAATGTGACAGACCTGATACAACTAACTTGTTGCCAAGTATGGCTTAGTAAAATTTTTGACAGAAACACGTTGTTTTAAATTTTAATATTTTAAATACTTCCAGTTTTAATTTATCATATTTATAGTTCCATCACGCAAAAAAAAAAATTTAGTGTTTCAAAGACTTGAATATGAATTCTAGAGCAAACATCAGTCTTTTGTCTCTGGTGGTAATTTCATTGCTGATATTGTTGCAAGCTGGATATATAGTTGCATTTCTTCGAAAAGGAGAAAGAGAACAAGGTATTTAATACAACTAACGTTGTATTTTCACAATCAATTAACGTCAAATATGATTTAGAACAGTGTTGGGAATCTTCTAAAAAGATTGAATAACGCAACATAACTGAGAAACACGAAATCAAAACTAAATTTTTTGCAAATTCATGCACAGATGAATAGTCGATCTGTTGCCCATTTTGGAGCTTTTATTCGCAAAGTAAATTTTACCATCTCATCTATATGTTTTAAATAATTTGATACAGTACCCAATGTTGAAACAGTGCTGGTTGATACATTTAAATGCCACCTAATCTCATTGTTAATTTTCAAGAGAACTTGAGGAGGGGTGGAATATGACAGAATATGCAGATAGACTGTTCGAGAAATATGAAGGTGAATAAAAATTTTGATGTTTGCTGTTTACAATGGGGACCGAATGTACTTTCATTAAATTCCTATTTTGTTTTTTAGGCATTTTCCGCAGAATTCTGAATATACATTAAATTGTGCTGTATCAAATATTATTCGTTTTATATAAACTAGATTTAATATATGTATATACACTATGTCCTATAAAGCTTGAATAAAACTGAAACATAATAAATGAAGATGTAATTTGTGTCAATATGGGTTATATCGATAAATATTCTAAAAACGGTCACTGACAAATTATCTACTGTTTGGTCTCTCTGTAACTTGCACTTTTGTGAGACTGTTCAAGACTGAAAAATGCTTTTTAGTCTAAATCACGGGGAATATTGAAAATTTAACCTTAAAATCTTTAATCGTAAAGGCGATACAAAGCACGAAATACATTCACGGATGCAACAAATTACACTGAATACAAACCAGACAGTGCTAATTAATCCAAACAGCGTTGCGAAGAATTCCAGGGATTAATCGAAGAACTTACCAAACACAATTATAAGTATTTTGCAATAATGTTGCGCTAATAATTTTGCACCGTCTGCGTAACAACTTAATACGTCATCAAAGTGTAAATATGGTATGAATATCACTAAATTGTAATGCCCATATATTCAGCTCGTGTAAATATGCAAATCAATGATAGATGCGTTTTCGATGAACGATTGCTAATAATTTTGTTTCACTTTGATATTTACCTAGCGCTTGTCCATTCGGCATGCCAATGTTAAATGAGAAAGACTTGTTACATTTTGAGTATACCTGTAACTTTTGCAATGATAAATTAAAATCGAGCTCGGATGTTTTTAACATATTAACATTTAGGTGTGCTTACGACTTTCATTTTTATTAAAATTAAGATAACGCTGTCATTTTCACATTGCATGATTTTTGCAAATATTTCTCCGTGTGAAAAAATGAATTGAAACACATCAAGCACTTCAAAAGTAAACGGGCATCATTTTCTTCGGTAAGTTGTACCGTTTTGATTCAAAAATCAATATCTCGAATTTAGCTGAAAAACATATTGTTTCATTGTATTTATTTGCAGACAGTTCTTCAGAAAAAGGTGCTATGTACCCAGAAAAGGACTATCTGTTTTTGCGTCGCTCAATAAGGCCTGAGTCAATGAGAAATGTTCATGTGCGGCCCATTGTTGTCAAGTCACGTGAAATATTAGAACACGATAACGATGCTCAAATATATGGACACGAAGACCAAAACAAATCAGTAGTCTATCTTACCCTTTACAGAACCGGTACCGTCAAAAATTTTCCGATTTTCGCGAAGCAAGAGCCATGCGAGAAAGGTCGATGAACCGCTACAAATAATTTTTATTATTAATTTTCATGAGGTCATCCCACAAAATTTCGAAATAAAAAACAAATCACATAAAGCCCACAGTAAGTTTTGAAAATAAATAAAATGGATGGCCTTCTAGCGAACATTACATCTTTGCCCTCTGAAAATTTTGAAGCCATTGATCCAATAGTTAAAATGGAAATTTTTTTTATACGGTAACAACAAGAAAAAAAATACCAACACAAACAACAACATAATACCAAAACGCCCATCTTCGTGTCCAACAATTTATACTTGGTTACAGTTACAAATAGCTAGACTAAGTCACAATCCATCAATCAGAAGTGACGGAGACTCACCACTAGTAGAGAATGAAGCCATTAGTAACCACTTGGATGAGAGTTTGGAATAAGCCGAATCATTGTGTTGTATTCCGATATACCAGTTTCATCGTTTAAAGCGAGTTTAGAAGCAGTTATTTCTCAATGATTTCATTAGATTTTTACATCTTTGCTCTGACCAAAGCCCTTTTTTATGTGTTTGTAACTAACAACTGAACCCTTTATATCTTTACGTCTTTACTCTTTCATTTTGCCATCAAACACAAAGTATTACAATTGATAGAAGTGCGTGATCTTTATATAGAATCGTTTATATGAAATGGAATCAAACAGATTAAAACTTATTTCGTTCCACTTTTTGTTTTATTCAATTTTCATAATTTGTTCAAGTACATCATTACTAGATATTAATTTAGTGTTTCATAGATTCAAAATATGAATTCTGGGGCAAATACCGGCCTGATGTTAATGTTGGTAATTTCAACACTGTTATTGTTGCAAGTTATAGTTATGGTTGCATGTCTTGGAAGAAGGGGAAGTAAGTAGTACTTTTAGTTATACAAGTAATGAGGATGTCAAAGGAAGCTTGTCTGATGAAAAGTATAAAATTGGTAAATTTTATAATCGGTCAGTGACTCGGTATACCAAAATAAAAGATCAAATTTATCACATTCCAATTTTATGAGTAGATGAATAGTTAAGATATTGACAACGTTTGTTTTGTTAGACGTTTAATTCAACAACAACATGTCATGCCATCGATGCTGTAAGTAACTTTTCGAAGAATAATGAGGTGAATATATATTTTTTGATGTAAGCAACTGGGACCAAAATCTTATTTATTTATAATAAAAAATTTCAGACGCTTCCCGTGGAATTCTGAATATGCAGAGAAACCCTTATATATCTAATATTATTCATATAATATAAACTAGGTCTAATATATATATATCTATTATAAATTAAAAACGTTAATAAAATTGAATAAAATACATATATTTCTGATTTGTGTCAATATGGGTGTGATTTCAATAAATATACAGAAAACGGTGACTGAAAATTATTTTATTGTTGCGTCAATCAGTAAATTACGCAAACGTGAGAAGTGATCACGTCTGATAAATGCTAAGTAAAGTACCGGATTTTTTTCTTTTTTGACTATATCAAAGTGGTTGTGTTTAGTTTTGAATACAAATCACTTGAGACAGCAAACTTGCAGGTTCAGAGAGCAGGTTGTTGTCATTTTTGGTCATTCACTGAGGTATCATCTTGGAGAAGGCTGGTTTATTTTGGTACAAATTGCGAGCCCGGGATTATTCATAGAAGATTTAATAACCCTAATTACCTTAGTGGAGCGAGTTTTCAATTATTTACGATATTTATGCTGTGAGCGCCATTATTCGTCGTCGATTTACTTTGTAAATTTTTTCGAATTGTTCTGATGCAAATCACGCCAACAAACGCCGAATGAAAGGGATTTGAGCATTACAAGTTAATATAAACAACCGTGTAACTTTGAATTCCCTGTAAGGCATGTTGATTTAAAACATTTTCGAGGGTCGACTAGAAGTGAACAAATGATTGTAATTTGCAGAAAATGACTATAAGGAAAAGAAAGAAAAATTATACCTAGAAAAGGAAATCGTAAAAGAGAAAGATGAAAATGCGTGAAAAAGAGAGAATGCGTGATACTTGAGAAATGAGAAAACTAGTACACTGTAATTAAGGCTTGTTCTAATTGTCCAAGCCCGGTGTACTGAGCAGAAAATTGAAATTAAATTTTCCCAATTCTGCATTTTTGAAACACGTACGTATCTTGAATACTTTAGCTTTGAAAAAAAATATGGAATTTCAACCGAAACTAAAATTACTATTTTTTTCTCTTCATTATATCTTTCTAAGAACTTGAAATTAACTAAATCCACAATCCCTATGCCTAATTGGAAAAACAGTGTTTGGAGAGCCAGAGGTTTCATTTATAGTTTCTTTACTTGTTTTAAACTAAAGGGATGAAGTACATTTTTGATGTAGTAACATTTACACATTTAGTGGATTGAGGTGGGAGTCAGCCTGCAATCAGCTATCGGCAAACATATTATGCAATGTTTAGACTCTAACGTAAAAGCTTCATTCAAGCCGTCAAAAACTAGAATATATATTTAAAATGGAACCTATTCAGAAAACGCTATTAAAAATTTTAAACGAGATTTTATTTCTTTCAACCACATAAGAAATTAACGTGTCATACTTAAAAAAGTATTGCGTATTTCAATTGGATATTACATGTTATTTCGTAAAGCATATTTCCCTGAAACAAACTCTGTTCATGCATGTACACGAAATATGAAAGATATATTCTGAACTACAGAAAACACTTCAAAATACATGACGGTATTGTGAAACACCTCTTAATGTCAAGTCTTAGTGACATCTGGTTCTATATTTCAACTGTTATGGCAATTTATAAATCGTGATTTTTATAAAATTGATCATTGTGACCATATAGCCTAAATCAATAAATTGATTTTTTCTCAATAAATTTTAACGTACCATTTTTTTTTAATTTCCAACGAGTTTTGATTGGTATTGCATATGCACATTCTTAAAATAGTTTGTTTAATCCACTTGGTACAGATTTCAATTTCCGGTCTTTATGGCCGTTCCTCATACTAAAATACGAAAAACACCTTCATAAAATTTAAACGATTATGGTAGATTCAAATTTTGAATTAAGCAAAAATGTCACTGAAACCTAAATTTTAATACTTTATATAAGAGAAACATGACTGCGGTGTATTTAATTTGACGGGAAAACAAATATATTATTGATTACACCGAATGAACTTCAACTAAGATATGGTGACCGTACATTTGAACCCACGTACATTTGAACCCATGTGTATATCTGCGGGTTCAATTTATATAAGGGGGCTAAAACCCATGGGTTAGGGTTAGTAGGGGATCAAATTTCCGCAAAACGAAAAAAAATTTCATAGGTGCAATATATGCAGGTGTAATTGTCGTGGGTTCAAATGTACGTGGGTTCAAATGTACGGGAACCCTAAGATATATATTATTAGATTGTTTTTTATTGAGTAAAGCCGTGCATTACACGTTTCGTACAATCTATTAAGCCTGAATTTGTTTAATAAATAAAATTCTTAGATTGTATGCTGAAGTAGAATAAAAAAAGAAGGTTTTTATTGAGTGATTTATATATCTCGCATCACACTTTTACAGACTTCTTTTAAAATCCTTCTTCTTGTCAAGCCAGACTTCTTGTCTGGGGAAGCCTGACCTTGGTATATTTTTATCCATTGTCCATAGATCAACCAGCAGAGATGTACAGGAAGCAGTAATTCCTGTATTTTCTTAAAAGGTATTTTACCTTCGTGTGTTTAAGTTTAGGAAAATATTCTATAATATCCAGTTATACAGTATACATATTGAATAAAATACCATTATCCATTAAAAAATTGGGTAATCAGTTGTATGAGAATTGTACATGAAATCCATTACAAAAAAATTCTTTATTCTAAATTTTTAAATTCTTATACTTGATTGGTATTATATTCCTATGATTACCCTAGTTTCGTCATTACTAGATCTTGATTAGTGGTTGAAATAGGCTTGAAATTTGAATTCTCGAGCAAATGTGAGAACACTTTTGTTGTTGTTGATAATATTGTTGCAAGCCCAAAGGGAAACTACAGGAAGTGAGTAGAATCAATATATTAAAGAGTTTGATTGATATGTGATATTTATGAAAATAGCAAGTATAAGAATTTGTTTGACGCTTAATGATGGTGCTTATATTTCAATAACATATATTAAGCGGGCACGTCTGGGGCTAGGAAGTATTATTATGCACTACGAAAAAATAGAAAAAAAAGGTTGAGCTAAAAATAAAATTTTGAATTGAAATTTTGAATATACACGACTCGAGCTATAAAATTGTAAATTAGATGTTTTATAAAGTCTGCTTTGCTCAACTTTGATCTATGAATGAAATGTCTCTATTGTTTGTTGAAACTCAATACCACAGACGAAAAGCTGTAAAATGTTTAGAAATCTAAAATATTTAATACTACCTTGTCGAGCAGAAACTGTAATGACGGTGCGTACAGGATTAATTTGTTTTCGAGGAGAAGATTTATTTCTACAATTTATTCAGTTTCATATTTGATACACATTAATATGGTGTTTTGCAGACTAAAATTATGAATTCTACAGCAAATGGCGGACTGTTGTCCTGGTTGGTTGCAATACTGATTGATTTTGGTAAATGCTATAAATATGGTTGCATGCCTTGGCCCACAAAAGGGTACGTAAAATTGACATAATTTCGAAACGTTTCAATTAAAAACGAATTTGATTCAATTTTGTTATGATAAGATAGAAGAACATATTTTGTTTCTCATTTTCAAACTCTTGCCATTCGGGAGTGGAATTTATGTGTATCATCTGACTTATGCTGCGTAAAACTAGCATGGTAGGCAATTAGAACTGACAGCCCTAGCCAAAATTATTCTTACTGACAGTGAGAAAATACTTAATATGTCAGTCAAACTTGTATTTTAGGACCGTTATTCCAAGAACAGTTTGGTGCAAATGAACATTTGGAGAAATTGTTAGAATATTAATTAGGCGAATTTATCCCTACTATTCTATCATTGATGATTGAAATCGGTACCAAATGCATATTCATTCAGAATATTTTTCTATTTGTCAGGTGTTCTGCACTACAAAGTCTTCTGAACTACAACGCCTTCTAAAATTAATTATTTGGAGTATATCTAAAAAAAATGTGTGTATGTATAACTTTGGTATTATATATATTGACGAGACCGATCTTAGGTACGATGATCAAGTTGCGGTGGGAATCGCACTACATAGGTACTGCGCTATTCCCAGACAGGTGCAGCCTGAGCCATGGCCACGGATGCGGCAGCAGTGGGGCTTGCGCTGATGCCTGTTAATTATCGAATTGAAATATTCGCATGTGGCATCTTGTGAGAGAAGCGTTTTGTAGTTGAATATATATAGGTATTACTAGATCGATAATTTGCCAACAAAACAATTAACATTACCAATGCTACACGTAGTGCTCATTATATTGCGCTACTTTTATAGTCATTCTGTACTTAGTTAAAAAGTAATATTATATATAAGACAAATTTATATTTTTTAACGAAAGTTCCAATTTTTAATTTTTGTACTTGTACATGTACTCAGACTAGGCCCGGTGCAAATTGTTTCGCATGGACCGGTCCATATTCAATTAATGCTTCATGCGTACATGGCATAACAAAAATAACAGTATTTGAGTTTACGCCAAGCGAGTCAGACAGGAAGTTGTCATATTTGAGTTCAAAATCAATGTATGAAGCCGTCAAGAAGGGAATTGCATTATGCTGTTTTGCTTGCTACGACGTGCAGTGAATATTAATGCTGTGAGCATGTAATGTAGAATTTATGGTTCCTACCAGTAGAAATATGTAAAAAGTATTATAGATTTACTAAGAAAAAAAATGACGCTGAGTAAAAATTAAAATTTAGAAATAAATACACGCCTCAAGCTATGAAATATGATTACTTTGTTGATTACGCTAATCGTACAATAGATGCTGTAAAAAAGATGTTTATCTCAACTTTATTCTATAAATGTCTGGAATATTTGTTAAAAAATTATATTTTGTAAACGCATCGAGAGCTTTTTTTGCTTTGAGATATAAAAGAGATATATGGAAGAGTTTGGTTGATATCAGAATTTTCTGAAGACAACAAGCATTAGAATTTGTTTGAAACTCCATGGTGGCGCCTAAAATAATAAATTAATGTTCACGCGTGACCAATTTTATTCGTCACATGAGAAAATAAATTAAGCGGGCACGTCTCAATGTACGAAGTATTATAAATTTACTACGCAGAAAACTATAAATTAGGTTGAGCCAAAAATAAAATTCAGGATTGAATACACGCGTCGGGCTATGAAATGTGGATACATTGTTTACTACAACAATCGTTCATAATATGTTTTAAACAACCTTCTTAGTTCAATTTTATTCTATGAAGGAACTGTCTAGACTCTAGATTGTTTGTTGAAACTCAAATACGTCAAAAATTAAATACTTCTTTGTCGAGCAGAAACTGCAATAGCGGGCCGTACTAGATTGATTTGTTTTCAAGAATGAGCCTAGTGATCTTTGTGATAGTGTGATATATAAAAGAAAAGGTCATGGAAAGCGTGATAGGATATCGGAGGCCGTTGAAAGATATGAACGTGAGTCGAAATATAGTAAAATGCTTTGAGTAGCCGGCGGGTTAGAACGACTAACACAAAGAGAAGTTTAATAATATTTTGGTTGATGTCATTTAACAGTAACATGTTGAAAAATTTAATATGAAACAATTTTAGGAAGGAGCAATTTTTAAAACTTTAAGATCACCGTGGAATGTTAAACGTTTTTCAAATCGGAAAATATATACATGTGTGTATGGATAAGTAGCCAATTTTTAAATCCACGCAGTATGTACTCATAAAGCCAATTGGATGGTTTACGCATGAAAGTGAACTATTTTTTTTCTGCACAAAGAAATTATACAAAACACGCACAGTCTTTCAAGAGCAGACAGACAACATTTCATCACAGGAAGTTATGTCTGGAAATCCTAAAAGAAAATTACATCGTAGTTCTATTGCTTTAGATTGAGCTGAGCTCAGTGAATATTTTACAAAAGAATTAATTGTATAATATTTAATATTTCCATAATAAGTGTTGCTGTACGTACTGCTTTATGTAATAGAATTTTACATCAGCATTATTATGGAGGCTCTGTGCTGCTGGAATTTTTTTAAATTAAAAAAGCGAACATTTTTTTGAACGGGTTTAGATTTTTTTGTTTTGAGATATGAGATATAAATGGGCGAATATAGTAAATATATTTCGTGTCATTTCAATTCATTAGTTACATTTGATTATTTCTAAATAATGTTCACATCTCCAAGTATCTAAATATTTTATATATGGATAGAATAAAATAAGACTTATGATATTGTGCAAGGCCCTAAACCAAGGATCGGCAACCTACGGCCCGCGGAGCAGTATAATCCGGCCCGCGACGCTTTGGTGAATTATAGTAACAAAACAGCTGTTTTGACGGTTATATTCCTCACGTAACAGAATTTATTATGAGACACGTGTATAGACTACATTATATTTTAGCCTAAGAAGTATATAATTTACAATTAAAAGTTTAACGAGCCTATAATTTATTTATAATTAGACAAATGGCACAAAAAAAATGACGAAAGGCCAAGTGCAAACGGTTTAATGGCGCAGAAAATATTCAAATGGTCAATCTTTGCGCGCTGCTTAAAATTTAACTTCTGGCCTGTATAAAAAATTTGATTCATAGGCCATCCGTTTGGTTTTAAACTTTCTAAAAATATGTGCGGCCCGCCAATGTGTTGCAACCTTTAATTTTGGCCGCGAGTGACGAAAGGTTGCCGACCCCCGCCCTAAACTGGTATTATGATTAGAAAAAAGATATTATTTCACCACAAATTCAAAATTATTATCTTGATTTCTTAAGAAGTGAATTACATTTCATTCAATTGTTTTAGTTGCTGAGGCAACTAAATGCAATGACTTGATTGAAAAAAATGTGATGTATAAATTATTTTTTCTTTAGATAGAACGAACAAAGGTACTGCAAGCTTGTTCAACTTTTACGACTCCGCCTGAACAAGGCACTTAGTCAATAATTCACAACAGGCATTCTTGTACTCTTTTACTGAATTTTAACCATTTTTTGCTGTTATTAGTGTCCCAGTAAAATCTATAGAAAAAATGCATTATTCTAAATTTTCTATCTGAATGTTTATTCTATTCCTATGATTTAGTTTAATTCCATTAGATATTAAGTTAGTGCTTCATTGACTCTGAATATGAAGTTTGGTGCTAATGTACAACTATTGTACTTGCTGGTAATTACATTACTGATACTCGTGCAAGCTGTAGATATGTTTGCACCCGGAGCAATAATACCATGTGAGTATAGTCTCAATGCTGGGATTATGCGAATAAAAGATATATGAAAATTCAGCTTAAGACTGATTGTAAATAGTATGTGATAGTAAAACGTTTCAGTAACTCCACTTTAGAATGATTTGAAATTTACGATGGGTGAATAGTTGGATTGTTGCCCGAGTTCAAATCGTTATTTGTCAGACAATGAGTTCAAGCCCATCATCTTATTCATTATCTTTAACGGACATTTTTGAAAACATCCCATAATCGTATTGCTAATTTTGTATTTTCAGCGGGATTCAAAAAACAGTCGCAAATGAAAGAATATTGGGATGAAATTATGGAAAAATAAAGAGGTCAATATATATATATCTATTTGTTTATTTTAGTGTATGCAACCATTACTAATTGAACATTCATCTACATTTATTTTCAGGAATTTTCCGAGGAATTCTGAATATACATGGAATCCTACTATATCCAATGCTATTTATTCATCGTATATATACTAGATCTAACATATATCTACATCATATCTTATAGGAATAAAGCTTGAAAAAAAACTGAATTCTAATAATTGTACTTATGATTTGTATGTATTTGGGAAATTCGATGCTCATAGAGTCACTCGATAAAATGCGCATTTGTGAGAAATGTTCTAGTCCGATCAATGCTTCAAAAATTCACTTTTTTTTTAAATTCAAGCGCTGTTCTATCTTATATTAAAAAGAAAACAAATCAAGTCAGTTTTCAATTGCAACATTGCGGAATTAGGTTAATTCTACGTACGCCCTCGTGACCCAGGGCATCGAACCATATCTACAGCTTGTAGCAACATCAGTACTGCAACAAACAAGTACAACAGTCCGGCATTTGTTGTAGGATTCATATTTCATATTTACAATTTATATTCCGCTATATTCATATATAGTAATGATGGAACTAAATTAATTAGGAAAATAAAATAATGATTTTGAAAACTTGCATTTTGCATAATACTTTGTTTAAGTGAATGATTTTATATGAAGCTAACAGAGTCTGGCAAAAACGTCAAGATACTTCTACTTAGGCTTATACTCGACAACGAATTATTTTTGTAAAGTCTGTCATACAGTTTTTGCTCGACAAAGCGGTACAAAATATTTTACGTCTGTCACGAGACAGATTCTATCGAAAGATATTACTAGTAATTAAGTCATTAACCATTGCACTAATTTTAAACCACCAATGCGTTTATGTCTTTTTACTCCGTTTCAATAAAGAATCTCAAATTTTCTTCTTGAAGTTAAGTTATATATGGGATGTACGGAAGGGAATTCATTGAATCAGAAAGAAAGTTTTATCCATATTATAATTTATCTCTATCGTTAGCTCTCTCAACTGTGATCTTTGCACGGGAGCAAACAACCCTATTTGCGTACGAAGATATGAAATTACGGGTCGTTAAAAGCAGCCAGAGATTATTTTCTAACAGGAAGTTTCCACATTCTGATTCAAATCAATATTTATAGTTAAAATAAATCATTTCTTTATGATGTGCTTGCTATCTGTGGTGTTCAGTGATTAGTGAAACGTGTGATTTATTGTTTTTGTGATAACAGAATTATTCATATTTTTAGTTTATTTTGGTCTTTATTGAATAATAATTTAACTTTCACGAACTAGGAGTATGGAGTCTGTCCAAATGTCGGATTGTTGCTCTCACTGATAATTTCATTGCTGACTTCGTTGCAATCAGTAGGCATGGCTGCATGTCAAGGTGGAAAAGGCGGGTATAAGTAGAATTTATTTCTAATTCAATTGAAACAACCTTAAAATGCAGCATGATAAATTAATATTGTTCTTGATGTTTTTATATTATTAAACAAAGTATTATGCAAAATGCAATTTTTCAGAATAACTCGCATAATTTTTATTTTATTTTCTTAATTAATTTAGTTCCATCATTACTATATATAAATATAGCGTTTTATAAGTTATAAATATGAACCGTACAGCAAATGCCGGACTGTTGTACTTGTTTGTTGCAATACCGATGTTGCTACAAGCTGTAGATATGGTTTGATGCCTTGGGTTACGAGGGGGTACGTAAAATAAACCTAATTCCGCAATGTTGTGATTAAAAACTGACTTGATTTGTTTTCTTTTTAATATAAGATAGAAGAGCTCTTGAATTTGAAAATAAGTAAATTTTTGAATGCGGCAATGTCTAATCTGTTTCTCATTTTTAAACTATAGTTAGTCGGTGGTGGAATATCAATATATATCATCTGACCCATGCTTTGCATGTTAGAAATGTCAGGTCTAGCAAAAAAAAATCTTACTGACAATAGGACAACAGTTAATATGTGAGTAAAATTTGTATTTCTGGAGGTGAATTCGAAGAACAGATGGATACGAAGAAAAAATTGTTTGAAGAATAATAAAGTGAATATATTCTCAATCTCATATCATTGGAGTTTATATTGGTACCAAATGCTAATTTAGATTATTGTTTTTTTTTCAGGCGCTTTCTGTGGATTGCTCAATAATACGAGGCCCTCCAAATCTATTATTATTTGATGTTTATCTAATAAAATATTGTGTTTATGTAAAAGTTTTAACTATTGGCACGACCGACGCACTGGTTGTAGTGGGCTTCTCACTACATGGGTACCGCGCTATTCCCAGGCATGGTCGACTTAAGCTAGTTAGCCACGCAGTTGCCCTTGCGTAATGATTGGTGGTAATTATCGAATTGGCATCGAAGTTTTGGCATGTGGCATCTTGTGAGAGAAGCTTTTTGTGCTTAAAAGAATTACTAGTTCGACAATTTGTGAATGAAGGTCAACATTGCTACAGTCAGTGCTCATTATATTGCGTTACTTTTATTGTTAATTTGTAATGTGAAACGAATTCATATTCTTTAACAAATGTTCAACTTTCGCCTTATTCACTTGTACATGTACTCAAGCAATATATTTCTATGAGGCCGGCTCAGATTATTGTTTTATGCGGGCATTGCATAACAAAAATAATAAAGTACGCAAAGGAAATCATAAGGAAGTTGTCAAGCCACAAAGAAGGGAAATTACATTACACCGTTTGCTTGCTACGACGTGCTATGTGTATTAATGCAGTGATCGTTTAATATAGAATTTATAAATAGGTAAATTGCTGCTATTCACAGAAATCTTTTAAACTTTCTACTTTGACCACATATTTTAAAACAGACGTTACTTTTGTTGTCTATTTGTACTCAGTTAAAAAGTAATATTATGTAAAAAGGAATTCATATACTTTATTGAAAGTTCACCTTTTTGATTTTTGTAGTTTTATGCGTGCATGGCATAACAAAAATATTAGAGCACGCCAAGGAATTCTCAAAGGAAGTTGTCATATTTTTATTCAGAATCAATCTATCAAGCCACCAAGAACTAAATTGTGCTGCTTTGCTTGCTACGACGTGCATCGAGGTGTTCAGAACATGCAATGTTGAATTTATGATTTCTACAATACAAATAATCAAATAGCAATCATTGTCTTGAACATTTTAAACTTTTCACTTTTCACTCTTCGTAATGTAGGTATTTGTAATTTTGGGTGCCATTACGTATCAAATGGTGGTATTCATTTATGAATAGCTAATCATTTTCTAATACAAAATGAAATTTTTTCAGGAATTCAGTATATAAAACATACTCGCAATTGAACTTCCGAAATTAAACAAAATCAAAACTAAATACCTCATAATATATTTATATCAAGCTCGAGAGAAATGAACAATACTTCAATAGATGCAATAAACCTTTCATAATCATATATTCAAAACAATGAAATAAAATTTCCAAAATGTTTAAAATGTAACAAAAAGGCCGTCTTTTCTTACAAACTAGATTACTATCAAATGTCGTCGCCATAAATATCAAGAAAAATGCAAAATAGCCTTTATTTATAGGAATCAGTAACATAACAATTAATTAAAGTGGGAATGAAAAGCATGAAAAATTCCTAAAGAGAGGAACAGAGTGAGCGAGAGCAAGGAATAGATGGACTTATCACGAAAACGAAAGGAACAACATACTTGATTATATATGGGAGAAACGAAAGAGTTAAACATAAAAAAAGAGGAAGTTATTTGACAATATTAGAATTAAGCAGTATCGGTAGCTTTTCTCAATTGCGTACATAAAATTACGTGGTGATTTTTGCATTATCTTTGCATGATAGCAAACTACAATATGTTTTCACCAAGACATGGAATGCCCCACAACGACACTTGTTAAAGGCATTCAGACATCATTTCCTTACAGGAAGGTTTTACATATTAATAATGTTCAAACTAGGTTTTAACTGTGGTGTTTTGTGAATGCTCATGAGACAGATGCGATATATGATTTATTGCTTCTTATGCTACAGTCGTAATATTGAGTCTGTACCAAATGTCGGATTGTAATAATATCTTCCTATATAGCTTTCTTGATAGACGTAAAATATTTATTACTACTTTGCCAAACAAAAATTATTATGCAAAATACAATTTGCAATTCAAAATCACTCACTAAATTTTTATTTTATTTTCCTAATTAATTTTGTTCCATTATTAGAATATATTAATATAGCGTTTCAGATACTGGAAATAAAAATTCTACAGCAAATGCCGGACTGTTGTACCTGTTTGTTTCAATACTGATGTTGCTACAAGCTGTAGATATGGTTACATGTCATGGCCCACGAGGGGATACGTAGAACTAACCTGATTCCTTAATGTTACAATTAAAAACTGATTAGACTTGTTTTCTTTTTCATATGGGAAAGATGAGCTTTGCAATTTGAAAAAAAATAAAATTTTTGAATGGGGGCAAATGTATACTCTGTTTCTCATTTTCAAACTCCTACTAGTCGAGAGCGGAATATAAGTCTATCGTCTGGCCTGTGCTGCCCAAAACTTGCATGGTAGGCAATTAGAAATGGTAGGCCTAGCAAAAATTATTTTACTGACAGCAGGAAAACAAATGTGAGTCAAATTTGTATTTCAGGAGTTGGATTCTGAGAACAGATGGATGTAAATGAAAATTTGGTGAAATTGTTTGAAGAATAATAAGGTTAATATATTCCTAATTTCCTATCATTGAGATTGAAGAACTCCGTGCATACCAAATGCATATTTGTTCAGAATATTATTCCTTTTTTCAGGTGTTCTGCACGGATTTCTGAACAACTAGGAAGCCTCCTAAATCTAATTATTTGAAGTATATCTAGTAATATATTGTGTATGTATATCTTTGCTATTATAATTAATGACAAATCCGATCTTAGGTACAATACACAGTTTCAGTGGGCCTCGTACTACATAAGTACCGCGCTATTCCCAGGCATGGGCGGCGTAATCCAGTCAGCCTTGCGCTAATGATAGGTGATAATTATCGAAATGAAGTATTGGCATGTGACATCTTGTGAGAGAAGTTGTGCTTTAAGGAATTAATAGATCGACAATTTGCGAATAAAGGTCAACATTGCTACAGTTAGTCATAATATTGCGTTACTTTTATTGTGAATTTGTAATGTAAAACGAATTCATCTTCTTTAACGAAAGTTCAAATTTCGCATTATTTACTTTTACATGTACTCAAGTTAGGCCCGCAAAATTTATTTCGCTAAGGCCGGCCCAGATTATTGTTGGATGCGTGCATGGCATAACAAAAATAATGAAGCCCGCAAAGTAAGTCATACAGGGAATTGTCAAGTTACCAAAAAGGGAATTACATTGTGCTGTTTCGCTTGCTACGACGTGCTGTTAGTAAAAATGCAGCGAGCGTGTAATGTAGAATTAATGGTTCCTTTCAATAGAACATGGTAAACTGCTGTATTTTTAATAAATTTTTTTTACTTTGATTACATATTTTAGAACAGACCGTATTCTTTGATTAATAAAAATAAAATAAAATACCGATAGAAAAATAATTTTTCTATATAAATTTCCCTATTTCATGGTTATTACATGTAATTGTTGCGACGGTCAATATTTGGGAGAAATAGGAGTTAGTGAACAATCGAACAATCAGTTATAGGCAATCCTATTGTACAAAGACAACATAAGATTTTATTCTTTTCAAGTCAAAAATTAAACTGACGCGACATATTTACGGATTTTAAACTGGAATTACGTGTATTATCCAAGAGCTTAGTTCGATGGTGCAAACTCTGTTGCCTTATGTTAAAAAAATTTGATGAATAATTTCTGATTTATGGAAAACACTTCAAATTAGAAAACGCTATTGTGAAGCACATCACTATGAGGC